TTTTGGATATTACAGCAGATGAAAATCTTAGAACCACAGAAACTTCAAAAATGACAAATAACTCGAATCTCACCCCCTTCCTCAAAAAAAAAAAAAGAAAAAAACGTAATGATAGTTCTCTAAAAAGAGTCGAACCTTTTTATGAGACCTGTTGCCAATATTAGTGCCACCGAATGATCTCATCTTTCATTCTGGCTAAATTCCAACACACAATTTCATTAACCCAGGTACTGCAGGTGATAAAACTCATTTTTCCCTAAAGAGACAGCTAAAAAGTACCAGTTATACATTTATGAAGTACCAGCAATCAAAATTATGGATTTTCTAAAAGGTTTTTAACTACTTTTATTGAAAGGAAAATCGCTGTCTCAGACTTTTGTGACACTATTGCTAATAATAAATTTTACCATTCAGACATCGCAGTAATACGGTAGACAGTGTCAATAAAAGTATGAAACAAAGATGATCCTTGTCTCTTAAGTAATGCTTTCTGATTACACACCGGAAATTATAACGTGAAACATAAACTAAGAGCACCTCAAGACATAAAACGCAGTAACGCAAGAACACGGGCGCAAAAACCTTGCATCGTGCTGCTTCTTCTGCAAGAAGCCGAACGCTCTACCCCGAGAGGAAAAAAACGTTTAGATGTGCGTGTGGAATGAAGGAAAACTGACACGAGGTCTTTCGAGCCGCCTCGGTGTTGTGTCTGCCGAGGGGAGGACCAAACGGGACTCTGCCGGGGATGCTCCGCTCAGGACTCTCCCGGGGATGGATGCTCCGTTCGGGGCTCTCCCGGGGATGGATGCTCCGTCCGGGGCTCCCTCCGCGGCTGCCCGGCAGCACTAGAGGGCACTGTGGGATCGGGGCCACCCCGTCGGGCCGCCTCCGGCCCCGGCCGTGCCGGCGAGGTTAACCGGCAGGTTTGGAAAAGGAACGGGTAACGGTGGACATGCGAACGACAACTCCGAATACGGGGGCTGATGCAAACCCAGCGCCCAGGCGGGTCCCCCCCGCCCCGTCCCTTCCCCAGCGGGGTGGGCGCCCCAGATGTGGCCGCGCCGGGCGGCAGCACCCTCCCCTTACAGCTGGGGAGTCGAACCGGGCCTGCCAGGAATTCAACGATCTTAAAAAAAAAAATAAAATAAAAGACGAGCCTTTTCTCTGCCCTCGCTACCTATTTGATGAAAAAAGTCTCTGTTGCGCTCACTGCGGATGATTTCACTGCAGAACATTCTGACATGCAAATGATGGCAATTAATGCCTTTGAAACAATTTATGATTTCCGGCCTACTTCAACATGTATTAGCATATACCTGGTTTCTTTAATATACACTTTGTTTTTCCAAAACCACAAACATAGTTGCTGGAATTTCATGTGGAAGTGCTTAAGGGGTTGAAAGTTAACACCTTTGTGAGCCGAGCAGTCTCACAGTTGCTGCTAAACAAAAGCCTCTTTGTAGAAGCTTTCTCGAAATGTTTTCTTAACATGTTCCAAGTAGTTTTAGGCAGGCAACTAAAGTAAACAAGATGTTACCATGATAAAAACACTTGTGAAAACATTACAGAGTGCACTTAGTAGTTTCTTTCACATAAACTCCCCTTCGTTTCATCAAAGTTAAATTCTCGTGGAGCGGATTACTACCATCACTGCAACAGAAGGCTGCAAGATCTCTCCAAAGGTCTGTGCCCCACTTTTAAAGAATATATTTGATTTAAAAATGGTACAGCCATGATTACTGAACATCTAAACCATAATCAAAATTTTTTTAAAAAAAAGAGGGGTGTGGAAATAAAACCCTACTCTGTCTTCTCCATTTTTTGTCCTGGATACCTGGCATTTGAATAAACCACCCTCCCTCCAGTCGGGATTTCCTGAACAGCTTGCCATATCAGAGGTATATATTTCTATCTGCCACGGTCTTTAAACACATGCAAATGAAATCAAGGATGCAGTCCATTTTGAAGGAAAGTCGCTCTGTGCTACTAATTGCTCCTTTGTGGCCGCCTGCGAGACGGGCCCCGGCTGACACGCGGGACACGTGTGCACCCTCCAGCCCTCACCTTGCTCAGCGCGGTGAGACTGGACTTGTTTTTGGTTTTAGGCTCGGGGAGTATTCCAGAGCACGCAGGGCGCTACTGTTTCATTAGGCTTAGCAACAGCCCCTGCTGCTATCAGTTAGCTCTAACTGATACCGCTTCACGTGATAACCAATGGCTGATGGATTTAAAAAAAAATAACAAAAATAACGACGCTAAAACTGCGACTTATTTCAAAACGAAATAGGGAAATAAATGTGTACAATAGTCCGTGTATCTGCTGGTTCTGATAAGCATCCTCCTGTTGGCTGTGAGTGAAAGACAACTAGGATCGTTATTTGTACAGTATTTATCTTTGAAATCAAGGGCCCTGTGGTGTACCTCACCTTGGGAACAAACACTGCAGAACGATCACAGAAGAGTGTCAAATCTCTGGTTTTGATTTACCAACAGTTATGATATTTCTTCCTCAGGAGGAAAAGAAATGAACCATGTTTTAGACCTGCGAGTCCTTTTTTCTCCCTCAACTCGAGAATCATTTTATTGGCGTACAGGGCTTTCATTCCGCATGTAGCTCCTCTTTGCTGTTTCTAACAGGCCTTTTTCCCAAGGTAAGTGAAATTAAGCAATGCTCAATTGATACACAGGCTGTATTCCACTTGGTAAACAAGAGCTTTTCTCTTGAGGGGACTGCAGAAAGAGCTTCACAGATTATACAAGTACCAGAAAGAAACTTCAAGCATCTACCTGTTATCTTTTCATTGAGTAATGAATTCTGATAAATGGCAATATAATTTAAGGACGGATGCTCCACGGGAGACTCGGAAGGCTACGGTCTCATTTTATGAAGCAGCGCTCGCTTCCTAACATTGCCAATACGCTGCTCGGGGACATTCATTTCTGCATTCGTTCTGGGTTAAATATCACTCCGAACAATAAGACTTTGTCTGGACACTGCAGAATTTGGATAATGAGAAAATTTATACGAGCTGATGGGTTTAAGAAAGTTACACAAAGTATTTCTTTTGAAAGGTTTCAATGGCTGGGTAGGGGTTGGGGGGGGGGGAAGACAGACGATAAGTGAGTGATGAAAGAACCAGAATTGTTGGAACTGGGAGTAGATGGAGCCACTTCAGGTCCAGCCTGGGCTGGTAACCATTGTCAGGTTATTCCTCCCTATTGATTGCACCAAGTATCTCCTCCAGATGAACTGGTGGACTTGGTCTACTTACTTAAACATCTCCAAAATGCCATATAAAAATCAATCGACCTGTGCCATGTGACTTAAGGGCTGTATTTTATATGCATGGTCACTTCAAGCAGTTCACTGCTCTGCAACAATCTTCCCAAAACCAACAGATCCAATATGCAACATGGGACTAGCTCAAGAAGCAAAGGTGGCATAATCTGACCCTATGTGACTACACACCTTATTCCAATATCTAAGGGTACCACAGCACCTTTCCCTTCCATTAAGTGCAATAAAAATTAGAATTGTTTTAAAGGTCTAAATGCTATAACATGGCATATGAATATGAATGAGCGGGCAAATATGGCGAGATTAGCATTTATTTCACTTAAGTGAACAACAGGATGAATTAAAAGAAATTAGGCCATCCTTCATGGAAATTTATGACTAGCACCTTCTTATTTTGTAATCCTCTTGTACTGAGAACCTTCTCATCACTGTACCATTCCTTACTTGCAAAATACGTTTATACCAGGACCAGCACTGCTCCTACTGAAATCAGGAGTTTTGCCAGTGGAAGCAGAACTGGCCCGTTCTGTTCTGAGAGCAAAAACCTATCTGTATCATCTAACATCATCCAACAAACATCCTCTGCTTGCTGTCACCCTTCCCTCCCTCACATAAAAATCCAGGGAACTGCCCCAGGAAGAACAGATACAGCTGAATATTTTGGGACTAATTCTACTTATCCATCCTGAAGAATCTCATGTATTTATGTGGACTAACTTCATGAGATCACCACTCTAAATGGGAGCAGAATTTGTCCCTTTGTGCATTTCAATCATAAACGTTGCTTGGGTGGTTGGTCTTTTGTGATCTTACAACTGAACAGACATAGTACTTGAGAAAAGATCAGTGCCCAAACCTTCAAGAACCTGGATGCAGCCAAAGCATACGTGTACCTGGTGATCTACCCAGACAGAAAACTCTTTTGTGATGAGAACACTTTTTGCTGCAGCTTGGAGAGGTGCAGCTGCCTGTTTAGCCGTGGAGCAGCCACGTGTAAGTTACCAGAGCTCTGCTTATCCTTCCCTGCATCGGGATGCAGCATTACCACGTACTAGTACATAATGCACGGTTTATGCAACGCGTAAAACTGTGTTCTTTGGCAGCAAGGAAAGGTCTGCAGCAAACTGCAGGGGCCCAATTAATATAATTATAGTTTATTTTTAGTAGTGTAGACTTTGTTCATTAGTTACTTATTTGACATAAATTAAATTTCACGTGATGTTCTGCAATTCTCTGTTCAATTACAAAGTTAATTTAAGACTAAATTTCTAAATTAAAGTGAAATCAAGGTTGCATTATCAATGTTTACATTATCAATACTGCAACTTAAAAATTATTTAAATTAAAAAAAAAGCTGCGGAACTGCAAACACTCTATTTTATAGTAACACACTGAGCAAGACCATACTTTCCCCATGGGGCTAATTTACTATCCCCTGTTAAAACGTTCTTGAGCCTGATCCAAAAGCCACTGAAGTGAAAGGGAGCTCTCTGTTGACTTCAGTGGGCTTTGCATCAGGCCCACGGTGAGTGACAGCACAACAAAATTTCAGGGCATGCTTTCTGTACAATGCAAGTGCCAAAAAAACCATCCTTACTTTAGAAACGACTGGAAGTCTTCACATACTGCTTCACAGCCTGGCCATTTGCATACGCCGTGTCCATAGAGCGGATGGCTGTGTGAGTGCTCCTCGTGGGATAAACTGGAGGAGAGAAAGAGAAAAGAGAAAAAAGTGGCGTAACTGAAGGTACTGCGCCAATTAATCTTCACAAAGAACTTTCAGAGCAGCGAACAACAGATGCTGAAACATCCCTAATATCTCACGGTACCCACCTGACTCTGCCCATGGTTTTTCAAAACAGAATTAAACACCATTTGCAGTGAGAAACATGTGTCATTCTTACTTAGCTATCCTCCTACATTTCATTCATTAATTAAAAGCTTTGTAAAGAATTTAAATTAACATGGACGGGGGAGAAATCATTTGACAGACTTGCTTAATATCCTGCTTGATATTTTGCTAAGAAATTTATGAACATTGCGTATTTACAATTTAACTTAATCAGGAAGAAAAGTCATCTCCATGCAGCAGTATAACACAATACAACTGGCATCTCCACGCAACAGAGTATTCTTATAACACAATACAACCGGACCTGAGGCCTTCCTCACCACTACAGAAAGAGGAAAAGCATCAAGTTTGCAGCCTTGGCTTTCCCATCTTGTTATTTATTTATGAGGCTTTTTTGTTTGTTTGTTTTCACTTTGTTTGGTTGGTTTTCTTCCCCTCTCACTCACTCTTTCTTTGCACCAGTACAGCCACCTTATGTCCCAGTAAAGAAGGTTCACCGCTATTTTCAAATGCAAAATTCATCATAAAAAAGGGAACGATGTAATCAAAGGATTCCTCAATACGAGGGGTTAGCGGGGGCTATTAACCTTGCTAAGATTTGGCAGGAACGTCACAGAGCTTTCTATCTACTGAAATCAGGGTTAAAGAAAAAAATTCATACGAGCATGAAGGGGTTAATCCTTCAGCGGGATTCCAATCAATACGTAATGATTTGGCTGCACTGATCCAAGTCATGAGATGCTTTGATCCGGGCCATGTGGTGCTCAGGGAAATGTATCTGTTGCACTAACTGATGAACCATATTCTAAAATATCTTCTTTATTCAACTTTTTCACGGAAACTTCTTAAGTAACGGAATTATTTTTGCAACAATTTCCATAACCTTAGATGACTTTAAAAATAAAATGTCAAAATACTATTGAAAACTCTATTCTATGCTCATATACACATCTCTCTTTCATAGCAAATCTTTTTGCTACAGCATGCCTGTGCTGTATTATGAACTTCAAACATACACAAAGGATATGAACACATACCAGCATCTAGGTGTGGCCTTTATGACTTATTTTATCCTGGATTACAGGTAACGTTACGGATAAACACCTACTTTTTGTCATTTTACTTTTATACACATGTGGAAATGCTGTTTATTCTTGTTCTGTAATGCTATCTGCCCGCGTACTGCAACAAAATTGTGTTCTTGTTATTATTTCTGACACGCTGGATAGCAAGATCACTGTAGAACATACCCCTGAGATGTTATCCTGAACGAAAAGAAGTTGTGAGAGAAATTCTTGCCCAGATTCTGTCACTTTTGACTTCAGGCCCAACAAGAACCTGAAGATAATTGAAGGTGGTTTTAAAATTTTTTTTTCAGGGTTTTTTTTTATTAAGAAAGGTACAGATCTGACTGGAAAAGGTATTATGAGTTGTACATGAATCTAATTCATTATTTCATTAAAATATTATTTTTGGCTGTGTACAAATAGTTTCTCGAGCATAAATACATATATACATACATATATATATATATATATATGCAAGGTAATTTCCTAAAAAAAATCCACTACAAGTGAAGAGCCTTAAAATGGCCTTTTCTGTAAGGCAATACTGCACTGGTTTAACTTCATCATTTTTTTTAAAACGTGCAAGTGGGGAGAAGCTCTATCAGGTAAGTTTTTAGAAGAACAAAGGGAGCGATGCATTCCTTGCAAGGAAATTAGAAAAACGCTGCACCACACATTCCTCAGCTGAGAAGGAGGGAGGGTGGCTGAAGGAGCACGGCTCACCCAAGCCAGACAGGCATATGGTCCGACACCCTCCATACACACTGGGAAAGAATAATTCAGAAAATAATGGGGTTTATCATCTACTTCCATACTTGAGTACAGCAAAGGGTGAGAAAGTAGGCTTCCATGTTAGCACTCCACTAAGGTCCATGAAAACTACACACGAAAGTCAGGATTTCAGTGTGTTTGGCAGAACACCCCCCAAAAAATTGCATTGTATTAGTTTGCACAGCTCACGCGCGTTACCCACGCACCGGGATGACTGCAGAAACGCCGTGTGACGCCAAGTTAAGGAGTCAGTCCCCTGTGGGTTTTAAGCACTGTAAATCTCATTATAATATCAACAGGAGTCACATGGCTTAAACCCCCAGCAGGGTTTTTTAAAGTTTCTCTGTGAGAGCCTAAAGGCCACGGCCAAGTCAACGGAAAGAGCCCTACCGAGATTTGTATTTATTTTTTAAATCCAAGTGCAAATCTCTTTTCTTTCCAGGGAACTTGCACAAGACAAGACAAACTATGTAGGACATGATACCCTGGTACTGTGTCCAAAGAAAATGACGGAATGACCGAGAGAGGATCAAACTGTAAACGCTGCTCGGGATGCCAAAGCCTAGTGCTGTCAATAACCAGGAAGATCGGTGGTGACTGTGAAGGGGAACTTAAAAGGTCATTTTGCTGACACGATGCTAAGCGTAACGTACCGGACACCTACGTAGAGCCTCCAGCGCCATTCGACAAAGCAGAGTTAACTACTTCGACTTACCAAAAATAGACACTTCAAAAAGAAAAAGAAAAACCCAAACCTCGGTATTGAAAGACAAACGCAGGCAGCCTCCGTAGGCAGCGCGCCTTTCCGAAGGCAGCTACTCCCACCCGGCTCCGCGGCGGTTTCAGCAGTGCCTTTCGGTGACCTTTATGTGTCAGTATCCGATTACTGCTATTTTATCCATCCCACTTTTGAAGATGTTATAGATTGCCACTTGTTCCCTGATAGAGCCTTAAGAAGCACCTCAAAACAAAACAAAGAGCGGGTTTATACAGAAGCGGATGTAACGCACAAAGGATACAGCCGGTGGAAATGAATGGAGAACTCTGTTTAACTGATCTAAGTACTCATTTTGTTTGAGCAAATAGAGGTGGAAAATGAGGATTTTAATCCAATACATAAACAAACAGCTTTGCGGGCACAATGCAAACCTATAATCTGAAACTGTTCAATGATATTTTGTCTGCATGCAAGCACAGTTTCTGTAAGCTGGATGCATCCTCGGTCTCGCTGCCGGAGACAGACTTTTTGAAGATCTGAGCATTGGCAAGCAGAAGCAAGTTTTAGGTCTGTTTGATTTCTAATGACACATTAGAGTAGGTGTTTGTTTCTGTCACCCTCTCCTTCCCAGGAACGCATATTCGTGGTTGGGTGATGCAACGCTAGTTAGTGGAAGTGATTTTATAACAAGACATAATTTTCAAAGAAGTGAAGGAACAAATGATGTAAAAATCAAGATTATGTGGGGTTTTTTTTGCTCTTTGTGAGGTATTTGCATACAAAATGCTTAACACAATAGAATTATTTCCAAATAATGTAATAGTACAGCATTATCACGTTGAAGTACAGCAAATAACCCTCTGGCAACTAAAACGCCTTGCGTAAGTCAGCTTATTCCTGACACAGGACAGAGTAACGAAATCCATGTGGGAAGCTGAAAGCTGCGTAAGTGTCCACTTAACTTCTGCTGCCTCCAGCCCGGTTTCCAGTAAGGAGAGGAGGGGAGAAGGGCCAGGCACTTCCACAGCTCCTCTGTGCTTGCCGCATAAGAGACAGGAGTTTTTACCCCTGCCTCCTTCAACATACGACGCTTTGTAACCCCAAGGATCTCCAGAGGGTATGGAAGCAAATTCACCACCTACTCTGGCAGGGATGGCTGTCAAAGCTGGTACCTGCACGGCCCCACTCTCCTGGACCACTCCAGCCATTTAACTTTTGGAATGTATCTGCTGTGCTACAGCATCCCTTGAAGAATCACGCTCTGGGACACAAAACAATGGGAGACAGAGAAACCACAGACAGCAAAAATGACAGTACACCCGAAAGAGAGACAGGAGCACGCTGGGTATCAGGGAAAGTAGTGACCGAAGTGCCAGCATGAATGTTACTTGTGTTGTACGGTTTAATTCAACCCATGCTTACTAACTGTGTGAAACCGGGTACTGTGCTTGTGCACACTGGCAGAAAAGTCACAGGTGGGTATAAAAACCAGCTAAGCAGTAGCCTCAGCAATAGTACTTCTGCCACACAGTGGACCGTATTTTAAATATTCACGATGCTGACATACTTCATATTCTGCACTCTCTCTTCCACATCTGCTTGGGCCAACGATCTTTGCCAAAACACAGGGGGAAGTCAGTGATGTAGAGAAGCATCCCTGATTTTCTGTTACAGTTATGAAGCATCTGCTCACGTTCTAACAGTGCAGAGAACATGCCTGAGCCACCTGCACACTGACAAATCAATACCACGTCTCCTGCTTTCCTCTTGGAAGGGGTTTGAGCACAGCACCCACAGAAACTGCAGAGCTGTACTCGTGACTGCCCGGTGAGCTCTCAAGCTCATCGAAAGGCACCAACAGAACAAAGTTGGTGAAAACATCACAATTCTGTGAGTCAGAAACACTTGCTCTATTTGATTTAAAATCAAAACGGAAGCAGTAATGATTAAATCCTTGTACCAACTGTACTCGAATGCAAGTTCCTGCCTTCACGACAGAATCAATTGAATAAAGATGTGTTTTGCGGTGAAGTTGCACTAGTGCAAATCCCCCTGAATTCTTACAACGGTGGTTTAGCACCTCTTTCCGCTCTAAACTGTGAATCTAAAAAGATCCAAAAGGGAAAAAATACAATGAAAACAATAACAATAATAATAAAAAATAATCAAGAAAATATTATGCCATATACTGGCATAATAGAAATAGACTGCTACTAGATATTCATACTTCCATCCTCAGTAACTGCCCAGAAAGCAGGTATTTGATCTGAACAGAGAATTGTCACCAGTGGCAG